ACAGTGGACTGACGCTCTTCACTCGTCTTACTAGGTATTCACAATGCAGTGAAAGCTGACATTGAGTACACTACGGCTCAACTCGTTTATGGAACGACACTTCGACTTCCAGGAGAATTCGCGGATCCTTCATCTTCTTCAATAAACATAGATCTAACCTCCTACACGAACAGGCTTACAAACGCAATGCGTTCAGTTAAAGCTGTTTCCTCTCGATCGCAATCAACTGATGTTTTTGTTCAACCTGACTTACGATATAGTACACACGTCTTAGTTCGTCGAGACTCACATTGACGACCTCTCGAATCAGCACACGAAGGACCCTTCAAAGTTCTACAACGCGAACCCAAGTACTATACAGTTGATAAGAACGGAACCAACGATAGCATCAGCATCGATCACCTCAAAGCAGTGTATTTGGAAGGAAACTTATTCACGTTGATTTTCCTTTGGTATAATCGAACGGCACGGCTCCTACACTTATAATGCCTCATCCGACAGCTACCACGCACGATGATACTTCGGCAGTATCAGCGAATAAACTTAAAGCAACGCGTTCTGGAAGTAGAGTAAGATTCCCAAAACATTTAAACGATTATTGCACGTAAGACACCAGTCAACATTTGTTTCATCTCGATTTTCTATGGCATTATATATAACATCAAAAAAAATCAATTTTTATATGCTTATATTTATATAGATTTATTATTTGGCTAATATGTATAATAAGAAAAAAATTTAAAACAAAAAACAAAAAAACAAACATTTTGTATAAACCGCTTTTGCGTTATTTTCTTTTTTCACCCACTTTGTGTCTTAAAGCACGTACGAGTTTATTTCGACATGCACTTACATATTTTTTTTCTTTTCCAGGACAGCTGGAAAAGACGTTAAAAAGAACGATGAGGTTTACGAGGAACCAAAAACTTTCATTGTACATTATTTTTTTTACTATATTGTATTTCATGGTCCCTTAAAGTACGGAAAGACGACCAGACGCTGCTAAACCAAGGAAGCTATCAGAAGAGTGTTTACCAACGACAAACTCGTTGAATTTACAATTCTGGCTGGCCACATCTTATGGTCATCACTAGCCCACTAAGACGATAGTGATCTGTAGCGGTAAATAAATCCCCAAAATGAATAGCTCTGTAAGTCTTCGACATTGGATGCCGACCACATTAGTTTTAATGGACTCACCTAGCTGAGGGCGCTCGGTCATGCATCCGCACCAGATCACGTGTGGTAACGCTGTGCTCAACATCCCCTGCAATCGCTAACCAGATTAGATCAGACGATCCCAGATATATTGATAGCCTATCAAATATATCTTCGAACCACTTCACTTCTGTCTTTTGATTTCACTTTGTGGGTACGATTCATATTAGATATTACTGGTTAAAGCGTTGTCAAACTCCTAATACCTGTGGCATCTTCAACCGTTAGCCCGTGCAACGAAAACAAGTTTCTGGTTAAACTAAATCATATCACACGCTTAACAGGAACGTGACTAATTTCAGTTCCATGGACAAGTAAAAAGAATTTAACTATATTAGTCGCTCTTTCTATGCATATAAGACAACCGATATATATATATATATATATATATATATATATATATATATATATATATATATATATATATATATATATATATATATATATATACTTGTCAGAGGTGTCCTATTACATCAGTTTCAGTTAGCAGATATTTCACGAAAGTTTTTTCATAGTTTCCTGTAGGATCACACGCTTTCAGAGGCCTATCTAAAAGTTCTGAATGTCTCGATAATGCAGATTTTTAGAAACAAATTCAAGCTTTATGGTTTTTAAAAAAGTTTCCATGTTTCTTAGCTTATGAAAAATGACACATTGTAATATTATCTGATGCTAATTTCTCTGAAATGAGTTATCATATTCCTAAGCTATTATTATTATCCGAATTCTAAACGCTTTATGTGGTTTATAGTTTGTCAACTTGTAGCATTTAGTACAATTTCATGCTCAAGTGGATTATTCTAGCATTTTAATGGTCCAATTAATTTATTCTTTTTCGAGTCAATATCCACAAATATACTTGGTCTTATCATTTATTCACTTGTAATCTTGATTGTTTCTATTTGAGCGTATGTTTACGTGTGCGTTTAACGCTTACTCTATTCGTCATACGTCTTCAGCCTGTTTTTCTTTCCAACCATAAATATCAAGTCATCTTTTATTAAATTGAGTTTGCACGTTTGCGTTCTCTGAAGAGCTTCTTTCCTATTACAATCTGTTTGCATTAACGGATACATGGGATATATATATATATATATATATATATATATATATATATATATATATATATATATATATATATATATATATATATAAAGTTGACAACACTAACGGAAATAATAAGATGTACTGCTGTGTCTGATGATTTGGCAAGTTTTGAACAATAACGATATTTACTAATGTCAGAACAGATATGCATTATTTTTACAGAGATGATCATTGTAGTAAAACAGAGTCCTTGAAATTTATATTAACTTAGAAAAGTTGTTAAAAACGTAGTGTAATAATAAATAAGTGGAAAAGATTCCAATTAAATACCACACGATTATGCAAGATAAGCTAGAAAGTTACATACGACCAGTATTTTAAAGTAAGATAAGGGGCTTAATAAAAATGAAAGACAATATTCGTACATATGTGTATTAAAAGTTAGTATTGTAGATAAAAGTGAAATTGTAAAAACTGTTTGTTATAAGTGTGTTCGAAATTGACGTTTATCGAAATGATTCAGGTTTTCTAGTATAAGTAGTAATAGTAATGAATGTAGTATTTGAACTAGCAATCCCAAGGATTTTTTCAAAATGTACTCTAATAGTCAAAAGTGGACCATTATTCAAGTAAAAAGTATAACCATTTACACATGTGAATTTATTGAACTGAAGTTAGAATAACGCGTACAATAATGTAAAAAGTTATCTTCGTTGGTTACAAACACAACATCTCTACAAAACAAAATTCCAAATATAATACTCCTAGGTTTAAGTGCAGTACAAGAATACTGGACTGAAGTTGGTTGGTCAGACTGTATAAATATCAACAAAGTTATTTTTCTAAAGTTGAAGTGCCAGATGAATTATTCAGGACGGAAAGTATATATGAAAGTACATCAAATTTCGACAGTAAACAATTAGGGAAGTATACTCTCAAGAGAAATTCAATATCATATTTCGAACAAAGTATTTTAAAATCAATAGTATAAGGTGTATAAATTAATTCAGATATTGAAAATAGGAAGATTAACCAACTAGCTTACACACTAATTTTTAATATGGAATCTCTAAACTTAATCTGACTCTAGAGTGCTGCCTCTTAAAATCACTTTTCAAAATTTAATGACTCAGACGCTCACCTTTAGTTAGACAATGTAGCATCACTAGTTGATTTCGAGAGTTTATGGATTAATATATTTTGTACTAATAATGGAGCTCGAGAGGAATTTCAGACAAATTCAGCGGCGTAAAATTCGAATTTGAGAAGAACTCATTAATAATTGCATTAACAGATCGACAAACACGTACTTTGATCAAGAATCACACCACAGAAAATAAGACTCTTATGAAGTAAAAAGCGAATAAATGGTCTACTGTTGCACTCAGCAGTTTTCCTTTGCTCGTGTTACGCACCATTCTCATTTTTATTACTTCTTCATTTATCATTTTATTTTGATACTATTGCTTTCCATCGTTAATAGTACTGTATTCTTTCATTACAGAATCACTTCATATTGAACTTGATCTAAAAGATGATCGAATCTAGGAATATTCTAGAGGACTTTAACCCCGGCCACCATGAGAATCGTATGTCATATTGGACAATGAATGATCTGTGTACTAATTTATGCCGATAATCCAGGGGAGTATTTAATGATGGGTTCTACATTTTATTGATGTCCAAATCTTGACGGCTGTACACCTTTACTGAATTAGGATTTATTAAGAACGTCACATATAAATGAGGGGTAATTGTGAAAACTTATCTAATTCAAATGATGACTGTTAATAGATTTTCATGTAAATGAATAACGGTCAAAGTTTTTAATTACTTTCTGAGCTACTTGTGAGTAGTCAGCTTGATAGATAAAAGTGACAAACATTCGAAGGTATTCAATAAAACCAACGTTAACTAATTATTGTTTCCCTGTACTACTAATAAAACTCAAGAATATAGATTTAAAAAGAGAGAAAATTTTTTTTCAAAAGCTTATACAGTTATAGAATACTTTCTGTAACTTTTTCTTCTAATAAATAAAATAATATTTCAACCATAGACATGTTTTGTACCTAACAAAGACAGTAGTATATTTGGGTTACACAAATATTTATGTATACCTCAGTATTCAAACATATGTAGATATACAATAAACATACATTTATGATGAATAGCGAACACTTCCCTCCCCCCCCCAAAAAAAACTGGTGACATTCAGTGACTATTTGTTACTTCATTTACAGAATAAAAATATGATAGTTTACAGGGAAAACAAAGAAAATAAAATTCTGAGTAGTTTCAACCTCATAAACTAAGAAGTTAGTGAACTTGTATTAATCCATACAAAATGATAGAAAGGCTTAAAATATACAAATCAGACTAGATACTTTATGGCATCATTTGTTCATTAAAAGTATCGTGATAAAAGGCGGTATCAGAACATATTTAGGTGTAAATGTGTTCGTTACATACTTGTACACACATATACACATAATGAATGATTGAATAGTACCGAAAATTAAGGATCTTGTATTTGCACACACAAATCCATGTGCCTAATTAATGTTTTATCTTTCGTCTATTTTCATTCCATGTGCCCCAAAGTTTCACACGAGTGTATCAGACACAGACTGGGATTTGAAGTGAAACCTGGAAATAAAAAATAAGCACTGTTAATAAGATTTGATTTAAATGTCTTTTGTGTATTTAACTCATTCACTTTGATTCGTTTTTCGTCAGAATTCTTCAAATTCTTTTGAACAATAATCTGTTTTAGATATTCGAAGTGGTTCCTCCTCATAATCATCGAAATTACTTGTGTCACCGGGCCCTTTACATGGCGGTAAGAATGGGGCACATATCTGAAAACGTTAGAAAACAAAGTTTTTAAAATATGTGCGTTATCATCCTAAAAACTGTAATCATAATGGTAGTTATAATGATAAAATAAGTCGGGATGATTCTGTGAATCGATCACGAAGTTACAAGGTAGTTTTAGGGCATCAGTTTCCAAAATTAGTTGATTATTTTTTACTAAGCGTAAGTATGCTCAGGTAAAAAAGTGAGAGAGAAAATTAAATGCATTATTTCTGGTTCAGATTGTTAAACAGCTCTTTGAAGAGACATGTGGAATAATACTTCTTACTAATAAGGAGTTATATTCTTTAGGAAAAAGTGTATTCCGCTAACAATTTATAACTATATGGCGGTGACATCAGTTCAGACTTATCCACTAGTTAATTTTAGCTGATTTTATTATTTAACTGTGGCTAAAATGTACTGAGCTTCCTAACAATGGGAGATTATGACCCTTATTTCAGGGTTCCTAGGCACTGAGGACCCACGATACCAACAGTGGTCACATTCATGTCCTTCAGGTTTATAGACAATTGTCTTAATCATTTGTCTTTAAATCAAAGGTGAACTAATAATAAATTTATACACCATAATATCTATACCTCTATAGTCTTAAATAAAAGCACTAAGTGTTGTACATAGATTATAAAACGACAAGAATTTCATCTATTCTTTAGTAGGTTTAGGGTTGTTTTAAATAAAAATAAATAAAATAATAGTGTTTCTAAGATAATTATAACCAAAAAATATTAGTAGTTGCCATTCAATTCATTTTCATTTAGATTGAAATGATTTCTAGGAAGGAAGACAGTAAGTTTAAAATCACTTAACATTGTGTATGAATTGTCTCCAAAATATCAAGCAAAAGAATGGTTGTGAGATTATTAGAAATTTTACTGACTACTATATAGTCATACAATATTACACATTTTATTTCGGATAAATGGTTAAATTTAAATTTATTTAATGCTCACCAGTGGGAAAGGATCGATTTACCTCTGATATCAGAGCTTTCTATTAATAGTAGGTTGGCTATGAATAAAAAATTCCAGTAAAAAAGGTATTCGGCGTAATCATTTTGATATAAGTGTTAGTTAGTGATCCGAAGAAGTAAACAGGCTGAAAATGTTTCTTTGAGGATCAGTGTATAGTTATTTCAAGCCTCCTGTTCTTAGCACTATTGAGGATTCCCGTGTGAGGACCAAACAGCTGTTTGTTCTTTTCGGTTTACAGTAATGGTCTAGCTAAGATTAATTCTTGGCTTAAATTATGAAAGTTCTACAATCTCCATTAACTTGGTTATACTAACAAGAATCATCTCTCTATATAAATAATGGATCGCTAATTATAATCTCAATCAGAAGAGACGCAATCGATAAACAAAATTAGTTATTCCAATCCACCACTATTGTAAAACTTTGGTTGATGTAAATAAAGTTAAATCACATTGAACACTCCATAAAATTAAAATTAAACACGTAATGGACTGTCTTATTAAGAAACTTTGACAAGACCGGTAACCTTCTGTGATAACTGGTTACACATCTGTCTTGACATCTTATTATAATAATTTATGGATCGATTCTAAATGTCAAAATAGAACTTGTCTATGATTGTAGATTCGATCAAAAAGTTAATAATCTCCACAACTCCTGTATCCATACTAATATCAGTTCTCGATGTCAAACAATCTTAATTCATCTTTTAATGCTGAACTGATTTTACAGATACTGTTCGTCATGGAAAACTGTACGGGTTGTGCACATAACCACCAAAGGTACGAAATGTATGTTGTAGTACAAAAGTGTTAGCAAGAGAAATAATGAATACCCACTTCTTTTTGATAAACTGCAACCCAATTAGTTGGCCGGAACCATTTATGACATTTGATATCATCGACACCATTTTTTAAATTACCGTAACGTTTTGTTAAATCTGTTTGTAACAATTGTTTAAGAAGATTTTTCAGATCACTACTAACATGTCCGGGAAATCTCACCTAATAAAGGTACAAAACACAAAGAAATTAAATTAATTATAAAATAAATGAATAATTAATTAGTTATACATTAATTTGGGGTTGAATAATATAGATTTGTTAAAGAAATGTTTATTTGTTTCTCAAGGCTAGTCAATCATCCAATCAGCATTCATTTAACTACTTAATAATTTAATAACTATGCGGTACCAACACTTATTTGTTATTTTGGCGTCTTCTGCAAAACTGGTTTTGTACCAGTATCTGAATTTGTTCTGTTAGAAGTATGTGTCTTCTCAAACTATCCCAGACAAAAAAAATAACTGGAAAGGTAATGACTGAATGAATTTGTGCTTAGCATAGCTGAGAATACAGATACTAATTAACTGAACTACTCTGTATGTTTGACTATGCTAATCGATGCTCAATAACGATATCAGCCATAGTCATTTTATATTTTATATTAAGCCAGAATGCAAAATGCTAATTATTAAGTATCAACTTGGTGACTTGTTTGTACCATGACAACCACTAATATCTCAAAAGTTGTAGGCTTGTCTCTGCATGAATCTGAAAGTGAGCTCTTAATAAATGAATAGAAAATAGGAAAAGTCTATATGCATTTTTAACCAGTAGACAAATTCAGTGATGATCAATTATATCTGATTAGTAGATCGTATAAGCCAACTTTTTTTGAATTATATTAATTATAATGATAGCTGATAAACCATTGATACAATAGTTTGTGAAAATATCAGAAATGAAAATAAGATGTGCAAGTGTCAGGACATAGACAAACCAAGCTATCTTAAAGTTTTTACGGATCCTAATTATGAAGAATATTTTGGGGAAAATGGATGCTGAACAAAAAATTATCAAGTTCCACATGTTTGTTTGATTACTTATTATTGTTTTTATTGTGATTGTTATTTTCAAAACTGAAATGTCACAACCTTCACAATGCATTAAGACGATAGGAAGTAAACAATGATAGACTGTTTATCTCTCAGGATAAACATTGTACTTTGAAGAAACAACCATGTTTACATACAGAAGCAGAATAATCATATTCTAAAACAAAAGTCACATATGCCAACATATACCGTCATATGATGGAGTTGTGTATATCATTATTCACAAACCACATGTAAATCGCATTAAAATACGCTTCGGTTGAAATCCTTGACGTAATTATCATGTTTGTAAGTCAATATACAGCTTATTATGAAAAAATTATAAACAATCATGTTTGGAATAAATCAATGCTTAGCAGTGAATTCATATGTGTTAAGAAATCATCGAAAAGCATGTCAATATTTATATTGCCTACTGATCGTTATCAAGGGAACGTTCAAGTATTAAGAGTACTTTATTGTATTTTCAAACATCTTCGATGTGATTTAAGCCTCTTTTTTATACACAAGCAGTTTTTTAAATTTGTAGAGACTTATTAAAGTGAGACCATAATTTATGGACGACGTTTAAGCGACGCTAAACTGACCTTAAGAGTGTCTATTCTAATAACCAGGACCAAAAGAGAGTTATAAACCAGTGTGAGGAATTAAAATTATGATTTACAGTTGATGGCTAAGGTTAGGTATTAGATCTAGGGTTTTCATCACAAACTGACATCAGCTATATTGTCAAAACTCTATTTAGCCAAATGAATGGGTGGATTTCGCGCCAAAATTCGAGACATGTTATTTTATATTTGATTGGTTCATCCATAAATTATAGTTTTGCTATTATTGGTCATCCGAGTGACGATAGAAAGAATGTGATACTTTATTCTGAAGTTATTAGAAAGTATTAGTGACAAACACAGTAGACTTACTTTACCAGCAACAATTTTCTCATAAATTTCTATAGGTTGATCTGCGAAAAATGGTGGATATCCACAAGCCATTTCATAGATCAAAATACCCAGTGCCCACCAATCCACAGCTTTATTGTAGCCCTAGAGTTTCATTCATCGATTTATTCATAAATAAAGCAGTAGAAAAATGGAAGAACTCGTCAAAAAAATTACATTATAAATCGAAATTCAGAACCACGAATTTTGGTGCTTGAAATATAGTGTTTTGGAGAACCATTCAATGTTCCTTCTTAAACTAATCATCTATGTTTGTAAACTTTGTGTTATCTATATGACCATTGAATTTAGATTTTGAACGGTTAATTATAGCACAAAAATACTCATTTAAACATGTATTTCCTTAAACATTCGGTAAATAGATGAGTATGGAATAACTAATGAACTGTGTTAATAGCGGTTCTACTAATTAGCATGAATTTCTGTCATTTATATGTTATTAAAAGATACTTATTAAAGTTAACTGTAAAAGTTTGCAAGGGTTTCTTTCGTTTTACTTGTATTGGTAATTTTATGCTTCAGGTTGTATTTTTTGCAAATAAACTTAAGGGATTTGCATCAAGGTTTATTTCAATATATTTTAAACATCTTTAGCTTGCGTGCATACGTCCATTCTGTGTGAATTGCTTCGGAATTGCCTTAAGTCCAACTGAAGAGTCCCAAATCGGATGAAACGCGCATCCTTCATTCCACTGCTAACCAACATACATTTCTACATACAACGGATTTTATTGACTTTTGAAGTAAGTTTTATATTCGAATGGCATAAAAAGCGCATTATTGTACTAGACACCTTTGTCGACCTATAAATTAATACCACCACAATCATTTTTTAAATGCCATAAGTAATCTTCGGTTGTTTTAGTGCCTGTATCCCTGGTAATATCCCTTGGCTGGTTAATTTAATAACCAATTTATCAAACACATATTACTATAATTCATGAATATATTCGATGTAAACCTGTCTTGTTATATGAAACCTCTAGACTTTCAACGGAGGTTAATAAATAGGTTTTTTGCTCAAAGTTGTATGAAAGTATATACCTTTTTACAAGCGGAACAAATCAAGCTGAAGCCCGCATAATTACAAACGTTCTTAAGATTTTTTCTTAGAATATATTACACCGGAGTGTACTACTTTGTTATACTTAAGGTATGAACATAACATCAACCTTAATCAAGGCTAATGGGCTAACATTCGTGTTACAACATGTTAACAACAGTCAAAACGAAATATAAAGTTACAAAAAATGCAACAATAGAAGTATCTGATTTGTTCCATTCCCTTTCATAGTTTCCCAATATTTGTAGCATACATTTCTTAAAGGTCAGATAATATGATGGTCGTTACTTTGATCATTTATCACATTTTATGATTATGATAATCAAGAATGTTTATGGTTATCGCTGTTATTAGTTTTCAGTATTTTGTAGAGTTAGCAGAATGTTTTCTTTTAACTGTTTAAAACTGGTTCCGACATGATAATTCTTAATGAACATTATACTACCGAAAAGGGATAATTCCAACTCCAGTATGCCTTATGATTAGCATCTAAAGCATTCAATTTCATTACTTTTCACTTCAAAAAATAAGACCTAACAAGCTTAAACAAAGGAAGAACGATAGTCTCTTCAGGATTGGTAATCGCGTTGGGAACAAGTGATATTGTAGTTGGTCTATAACTATCCTTTGGTGATCACTCAGTATCAACGACTAGGGATAAAAGAGTGTAGGTACTTTAAACTACAACAATGAGAATGAGATAATAATCAGATAGGACATCTTACAAGAAACGTAATATTAACTTCATAAGGCATATCTACGATCATGAAGCAGCTGACACCTTCCGGTATGCCTGATTAATTAGAGCAATAAGCAAATTGGGTCGCGATAACCAGATTTTGGTTAGTGTTTTATTGTCTTGCATTTTATATAACTTAAGTAACTTTATCGCAGTTACAATCCCATGTACATTATAAATAATACTCACTTTGCTTAGAATAATTTCGGGGGCAAGATATTCTGGTGTTCCACATAATGTCCATGTTCGTCCTTTGATTTTTTTGGCAAATCCAAAGTCGGTAACCTTATGAAAATAGAAGAAAAGTACCTATTATATATATTTGTAATGAACAAACTCTTGATGTACGAAAAGATTTACTTCACTTTTAAATAGCTTTTAAAAATTTGAAGATAGCCTTTAACGTTTGAATAGGCTGACAAAAAATTACCAATGACTACTTTGAAAGAAGTCGATGTTTGGCAATGAGATCAGAATTTTAGGAAAACTACCTACATTCATTAATTGATATCGTGTTTGTCATTGGTAGTAATACAACGGAACATTTCACGTTAAATCAAAATATAAACTTTATATTACTCAGTAGGTCATTTAAAATGAATAACTCATTGTATATTGATGATGCTTATTACTAATTGAAGTCAACTTAAGAACTGAGAATTCTAGTTTGAAGTTTTTTTAACCAGTATGTAACAACCAATGATAGAAAGTAATCTTTATTCAATGGTATGAATAAATTATTGTTTCATTTATGACTTGATTGTCTACTCAAGTTATATTTTATCCTTAAAATGTCGTAGAAATATTTTTTAAAGTTTTTGATTGAGATCATGAATTGATTGATGTTAAACCACCACTGGAAACATGGATGTACTAGACCGCCGTTTTGTCCTATTGTGTGACTCCTCAGCAGTGCGTAACAACGATCCCACGAGTAAGATCGATCCATGATCTCAATCAGAAACTTAATAATCTCCACAATCTTATACTGATATTTTGAAGTATTTAATGAATACTTGGTTATTAGTTTATTCAACTAGAAATCAAGTGGTGAAAAGAGAAAGAACAGCTCACTATTTATCAAAAAGTAACAGTGATATCTAAATAATTCTATTGGATACACTGATACATATATATTTGAAAATTATCTAATAAATTTGAAAGGATAATGTTAATTAGATTAGATATGTTGAAGGAATGAATTGATTCTATCATGTTTCTTTGTCATTCACGTTGCTTTATGCTGAAAAAAAAGTAACTACAGTCTGTTTATATCAGGATAAACTAATTTATCAGTGCACCTGGTTTGTTAAATAGTCAAAATAACCAACAACATATTTGTCTTATAACATTTAAACTAATGTCTATATCCAGAATTCAATGTATTTTCTAATGGTTAATAATAAATAAAAAAGTAACAGGGTTGTTTTTTCTTTTAAAGGGAAAAGAAGTTAAATCAATCAAATATATTCAGTCAAATCTACATATTAATCAGGATAACAATGCTTGATGTAGATTATCTTATCAAAGTACATTTAGGGGAGATGACTTCAGAATATATAGAGGTTTCAATCTGAAAAACAATACATGAACTTGACTGTATGACTATATGAGAATCCACTAACCTAGAATGATTTTTTTCTAAAATGGACACAAAAAAATTGAGGAATCAGTTCATACACTTTAAAAAGGAACAATAAGCGTAATAGATAAATATGTTAAAATCAAGGCCTTATTAACATTTCAGTGAAATACTTTTTGCTATGCTGAAGGTTCATCCAACAGATCTAATAAAGGGGTATTGAGAATGTATTCAGTACTTATTGATGACAAAGGTAACTTGAGAATAATATGTAACATGTAAAATGTAACAATTTTAATAGTTCAAACAATTTCCATTCATTGATGTGGATAATTTAAGAATATCATACCTACTATATCCAAACACATCTGTAAGATGAGATTTGAACAAAGAACTGTTGCTTTAAATATTGGATAAATATCTGGTCTTCCCTATTAAAAATTAAATATTTTAATCTCTTTCTACTACTTTAGTATATGTTAAGAGATAATCTTAAAGGAAAGTTCCGTTAGCTAAACGATGATGTCGATAATAACATAACTTATTAGTCCCTTTCATCTAAGTGTGATGATTTCAAAGGTAATTCACAGAAAGTAGAAAAACCAAAATCATCTAAATCCTTATTTATATCAAAACGTCATGAAGTACCGGAATCCATACTGAAGCATGTACTCGCTTGGTATTGTTTGGCTTGTATCTTCCCATTGAGGTTTAAGACTGCAATTGGTCAGTCTCTTATTGGCATATGTGCATACTGTGCGTATGCCTCGCTATTACCTTAAATCACAAGCTATTTGTAAGCAATGATGGATAGTGGCTAGCAGTGGAATCCAGGACGCGCGTTTCGTCCTATTTGGGACACGTCAGCTGGATGTACCTGCATCTCAGAGTTGATATTCACTCTGGGACTCGAACCCAGTACCATTCGCTCCAAACGCCAAACAATACCAAGTGAATTCAAATTCACCCCATTGTACAAGCAAGTGGCTATCAGGACTCAGTAGCTGAGTGGATAACGCGATAGCGTTTGAAGCAAACGGTACTGGGTTCGAGTCCCAGAGTGAATATCAACTCTGAGATTCAGGTACATCCAACTGACGAGTCCAAAATAAGACGAAACGCACGTCCTGGATTCCACTGAATCATGTACTGTTGATACCTTCCTCTGATACGTTAAAGCCTAAATTGTATCTTCAGTTTACTACAAACTGCAGGGGTTTTTATGGGTCTTCTAACCTTATAGAATTGATAATATTTGACTTATTGATTCATTTATTGGAAATGCAGACATTTAGCCAATACCTCAAATATTGAAATATTTGATCATGTTTGTACATTGGACCTAAATAAAGTCGAACTAATCAATTTTAACTAGTTTTGTTGGTTAATCATACAACTTACTTTTAAATAACCATCACTAGCAATCAATAAATTCTCAGGTTTTAAATCCCTGTAGATTAAATCAAAAGAATGCAGATATTCAAATGCCAGTACAACTTGACTTGCATAGAAACGTGAATCTTCTTCACTAGAATATGAACAGAAATAGAGAAGAACAATTATTTAGTATATTTAATAAGTTCTTTAATAAAAAGTAACTGAACGTATTGTTTGAAGCCCTGTTGAAACAATTTGTCTAACTGATACATAGCATTTCATTGACTTAAACATATTCACAATTGTACATATCGGATGAAGAGGACCCTTTTTATAAGTTGGTGTCATTAGGTGATAGAGGTAAACTTCCTAGTAAAAGTATGAGTCCCTTTAGGGTATGAAATATGTCAGATAGTATGACAGCTGTATTTCTAAGTTTTTATCAATAGCCTCTAACTATTTAACAGTTTACTCCTAAGCAAATTACTACTTAATCAAACTATCTGCTGTGACCATAGTTGGAGGATAAATTTATACATACAATGTTGATTATTAAGATTGATGATTTAGTTCAAGATATGAGGTGTGATTTATTTTATACTTTGAATAGTTTTGTCGATACAGAAATGTTGTAATTTTGTTGGAATAAGTCGTTTATACAAAGTAAAGTAAAAACTTAGTAGTATTTATAAAGACTCACTACGTCGTGTTGAAATCGGAGAATGACAGTTTTAGGAATTCCTCTAAAATTATGTTGAAATATTGTGTACAAACAACTTGGTCTGTTTTACTGATTGTTCAGCTCTAATGCTAATTAGTTATTATATATACATTCTTATTGTATAACGATTAAATAGCTAAATTATATATATTCATATTTCTCTTGTCATATGCTTTTAGTTGACCTATTAGCTACTATTATACGACTTACAATTCTTAACTTATTTCCGATTTATTAGTTACACTATCTCACACTCACATCTACTTTTGTCTTGATCTTGTATAATTGTTATTTTCTGTTTTATGGTATAATACGGTCTGATTTGGTTGTATATGGACTGCGTATGTATGAAATACATGATTCATACAGTGGATGCTGAGATCGCGTTCTGGACTCAACAAGCAGGGCAAGGCAAGAAGAAATATTAAGGACTCAGAGTAGGCTCTAGGCAGCTCGTACCGGTTAACGCGTCATTGGTTTGGCACCAGGCTAAGCTCATATACGTCGGTGTTCTAATCGGCGTTTTAGTCATGTGATAATAAGCAGGGTCATAAAGAACATGACAGATGGGTATCTGTCTTTCGATAAAAATGGTTGTTCTTCAATGGCCATGACTTTTTACTAGCAATTATTATTATTATTTAGACAACTGAATATATACACATTCAATTGTTAAACTTATTTTCTAAAGATTGTCACAAAGGAAAATAATGGAATGTATTGAACGCTTCTTGAAATTAGTTAGTAACTAGTAATAAAAATTATCATGTTGAGCAGAAGTACTGATGAATTCACATTTCTAATTTGAGCCATATACAAATGAAAAAAGTTATTATGCTGCAAAAGCTTTGTATATCTTACCTGAATTTCCCAACTCTTCTTAAATAGGAAAACATTTCACCTCCACTGACAAACTCAAGTACCATATACAAATTTGAATTATCCTTTGATTTGGAATTTTAGCATATAAAAGAAAGTCAAATTTAAACAAATTATAGCTAAATTTAGGTTGAACTTCAGTCATCAGGATGGAAAAAGAGAAAAAAATTAAAATTTATATCTTAAGTTCTTTCATTTTAGTTTGTAAGTTTCCTGTAGTTTGCGTCCACAAATGTGAACTTGATACGAAAAAGAGATTGCAACAAGCTATGAAGCTAGATGCCAAAGTTTTTCAATTTTAACTACAGATATTTTGTCATATACGGCTATACGTTTCTATTACTAGCTTTGCGTTAGTATTTTACTTTCTAATTGGTTGACTCTTCAGGTCACTGTACTGTATCAGAAAATCTGGAAATCTATTTTAAGGTTAGTCAATAGGGAGCATCAAGTTATTACGTAACAAGATGGTTTTCGAGATGAAGTATTGAGATGGATGAATACTAGTCATTTGTTCGAGTACGAATCGCACCATATCATAAACGAATTAAATTGAAAATGTTCATCATTGGATTTTAGCTTAGTTTCTCAATTATATTGTGATCACCTCAACATATTAAGGTCTATGGTTGAATCCTACTAGTGACCATAGAATTGTATTTGTAATGTGATTATAACTAGGAAGAAATAGCTGTTCAACAACCCCTTGTTTTTCTGAAGTTCTTCAGTTGTTATGTTTCGTAATAAATAATAACTTTAGATCATACAAAAATATACTGAATCTTAATTAGTTCTGAGACATAATTACATACTAATTTAATACATTTCAATACGAAAAACAATCTGAGTAGTAAGCATGCAGTTATTGGCCCTATGTATATATGGATTCACTATTTTTAAGTATTTTTAAACTACATTACGTATAGTGCCTAGAATGATATAATGACGTCTACAGTTTGCGATCTCAGCTCGAACTACACTTTAAACTTTACAAATATAATGGTCTAGATTATGTTCTTTTCAATTTGTCATTGTAATGTTACATTCATGACGATGTCACGTTATTTTTTTTAAAATTTGCACTTTAGTACACGTTGTTTTCAAAAATTATGCTTGAATCTATTTTGTGTCATTATGAAAATCATTGGAAAAATTGTTGTGTATTTTTTTGGCATCAAAACTTGGAGATCAATAAGCATTCTGTTTATTACGAATTAAATGAAAAGCAGCTAGCACTAGCCTAATAAATTAAAGAATGAACATTGTCACATAATGAATTGCTAAGTATTCCAAAAGGTATATTAAATGACAATGGACAGTAATAACGAATTATTTGTTTAGGGAGAGCGTTAATTTTTCGATACCTATTATTAGAAATAAGTAATTAAGTAACTTGGTATCAGAAGGGGTTTCGTGGAGATTGTGGCAATTTCAATAGTTGAGATCATGAGTCAATTGAAGCTAGACCACCATGGAAAACCTGGAAGCACTGAACTAATTATTATTATACTCTTCTTTTCGCACAGATCAGATCTGGAATGTTTAAACTGGAAGTGATGTTGGAGATGTACCGATCTACCTTTGAATTATCTAAAGAACATTCAGTGTTGTATAGAAAAATCAACTTAGTAAGAGGTATATTTCTCCTATCACTTGTTCCTTCAGTATTGTTGAAAGACTATTAAATACGAAAGTTTTGTTTTCCGAAAGACATACTAGGTTTCTTAAACAGATTTCTGGGTACGTACTTTTGAAAAGCAATAATCTGCACAAGTTCAGTTGGAAGGTACTTGATAGATGGTAAACATACAGTGAATATTAGTCTTTTATTCAAATAATTAACAAACAACCAACATTAATTTTACGTTGGTTCGATAAGACAGTTGCTATCAAATGTTTCCGTTCTGATATATGTAAACAGAAGAAGTTCATGCATCGCCTCTCCTTACAATTATGACTATGATTGAGATCGAATAACCTTCTTTAATCAACTTTTCTCGCTTTCAACCTCTTTTTATCTCTTACATCTTTTTATCACTGATAACATATTCATTTCATTTTAGTTTTAATTTATACTCAGTAATTATGTAGTTATTAGCTATTTTCATCCTGACTACACATTCATTGTTTCTTAAAGATGTTTATTATTAATGATCACATTACTCCCTGTATTCTGTAAGATTATTTTCTCCAGCATATAAATAAGTATCAATCTTAACTATGTTTATACATTTTGTGTTTCTGTTCTTCTTCTCATAACTTTTTTTCCCGTTTCTAACATCCATCTCCCACCAAAATGATCACGTTAATCATTCTTTAATATAAACAATTGTTATGTTGTTTGACTCTTACTGTTCTCTAATTTTACCGATCAGATAACGAATACGACCGTAAATTTTATTGATTCAACAATGAACATGTAGCTAAATATGCCCAGATCATTTTTATCAGGGTGAAAGTCACGTTCGTTTGAGGAAAAACTCAGGTTGTCATTAAAAGCTAACTAAAAACAGTTAATGAAAATAGTTTGATATCTGTGTATCTATGTATCGAGAGTATTGTGAAGATTATTACAAAGATTTATTTAGTTTTAAAGTGGCATTGACTTTAGGCCAACGTCAGTTGGAACAGAATTCAAAATGATATTAAAAAACAACAACTAGGAAGTCATGACAGTGCCTATCCACGACTTCATCAGGTTTAAAATCTAATACTTCCTAATTTTACCTATGAATATGACCCATTCAACTGATAAGATTTTAACTTTAATCATTTTCTTGTATAGTCCAATCTCTATCTAGTGTCATCAGTCAATGAACAGTAAGTTTAAAAACAACAACAACACATATTTACATATTAAACAAAATGTCGATAGTTTTATTCATTGTAGCTAATAAGAAATTATTAGTTTGACATTTACTTACTTTAAAACTAAAATCCATACTGACAAGAAAAGGAAAATTGATTGCTTGTAAAATTTTTTTCTCATTCAATGTATGTTCTACTTGTTTGAGTTTGACAACCTGTGACAAATTTCAAAATAACCAAAAAAATGGAAACTATTAATGCTACTTCACTTGGTATTGTTTTACTTGAAACGCGAGTCCTGGATTGCACTTCTAGCCACTACCCATCTTTGCTTATAATGCCTGTAAATTAAGGCAAGATCGAGGCAAAACACACAGTATGCACATATGCTAATGAGAGACTGATCAATTGCAATCCTAAACATCAATGGGAAGATTCAAGTAAAACAATACCAAATGAATTAAACTTCACCCCATTGCACAAGCAAGTGGCTATCAGAACTCAGTAGCTAAGTGGATAACGCGGTGGCGTTTGAAGCGAATAATACTGGGCTCAAGTCCCAGAATGAGCATCAACTCTGAGATTCAGGTACATCCGGCCAACGAGCCCCAAATAGGACGAAACGCACGTCCTGGATTCCACTGCTGGCCACTATCTATCTTTTAATAATGCTACTTCTTGGTGTTGTTGATAATGATAACGATATAAGTTGCATATATACTACAGGTTAGTTTAAATGAATTTTCAGTCAATACATAGATCAGTGGTTACAATGTAATGATTATTCAGAGCTATCTATCAACTAAAGTATGATCTAGGAGAACGAAACTCTCTACCTGAGTATCAATGCTAGTTTGCAACGATCTAACATTTATAACTTGTTTCTTAACGCCAGGAATGATCAGAAACTCATTATGAAAACTTAGTTGATTATTGAACTAATTAGAATAGATGGAGTGACCGAAATGATAACTTGTTTATATAATGCAGCCTCATGTCGAGTACATAACAGAAACCAAATAGAATTGCAGTGAACAAGAAAACGAGTGGGGACAACCAAAATGTATTTGACACAAAATTACAGAGCATTTCACTAGAATCTGAGAACCATATAGTAAATCGTTAATTTGCAAAATGTCAACCCATCGTCTCAAACTTGACTGTTTTTTTTTGTAAATATCAATCCATTGTCTCATATTTCATTGTTCTTGCATTTTCATACCAATTTTGTTCCGTTGCTGTTATTTCCTCATCGACCTTCTACTGAAATACATTCTATGCCTGACCACCGTTATATACTACTTGTGTCAATATAAGTAACCCACACAACAAGAATGACCGACTAACTAACTACGTAGATACAGTAAAATATCAGAATTTCATTTGTCATATTTCATAATTACTTAAAATTTATTCAATTGTTGCTTGTTTGATTATTAGATAACGGGACATCATCATGTCATTATTGAACGTCTATATGAATTTAGTGGACAACATGCATTTGATTTTTTCAGTAATAATATGTTTCAGTGCCCACAGTGGTGATATACATAAATTAAGAATCATTATCAATTGAACACTGTTTAGTGATTGACATAAAATTGGTAATAGTTTCGAAAGATTAATAGTTGAACTGGAGTCGATTGAAGCTAGATCACCATAGAAAACCTGTAAGCACTGAACGACTGTTTCGTCCTATTCTGGGACTCCTCAGCCGTGCGCATTCACGATCCTTCCTCGCAAGATTTGAACCCGAGACCTTACAGTCTCGCGCGTGAGCGCTTAACCATTAGATCAGCTTAAATTTATTTTAATTTTTATCAAAACAAAAATTTGATAATCAGTAGAATTGAAACATAGAAGGAAAATAGGTTTAATTACTTTTTGTTTTTCTAGAATTTTCATGGCATAATACATCTGTGTCTTTTTATCTTTCACTAACATGACACGACCAAATGATCCTGTACCAAGTGTTTTTATACGATCGAACTGATTCAAGGTTGCATTACTCTGACAAATGGAAGTTAAAATGCAAAAAATAAGAGAGAAAAGAAGTAGGATTATATAACAATGTTCGTGTATTTAATAAAACATATTTCTCTATGGTTTTAAATAAATTTACAAATTTTAATATGAATCAAAGACAATAAATAATATTGTATATTCAGTTAATAATAATTCCCATTCATGATGGAAATCTGTTTCTAAGTGACATTATAAACATTATTTCATTTACGTAAAATATGTAAAAGTTATACAATGATGTCAATGACTTGTGAAATGTAAACGATTTTACATAGATTTATCTTAAAAATCTGTACTGTATTTGTTTATTTGATAGACCAATCGTAGACGTTGGTTAATTTAAACATTTTAAGTAAAATAAAGTATAAGATATGGTCAGCATACGTTTAAATAAAGTTAAACGATAGTTATATATGAGAAAACTATTCTAATCTGGATTATTTTATTCAGGTAATAGATTCAAAAGATTTATTGCTTCAGACAGTTATGATCACGTCTACAGCATGAAACATTCGTAGTGGTAATCTTTTTTTGGCTTAGGATATTTATTTTAATGTTGACGTGGAATTGTAATTTTGTGGTTGTTACTACGTGTTATTGTACTTTGTAGTTGAGCATTTATGTGTTTATAGATGAATTGTTTGAACGAACTCAGTATACTCAATTTAGTAATATGAATAATATTAATTAGACATTTGTCCATCATATGGTCTATATGAACTTACCATTAAGCCCCATTTCGTTCATGTAGAGTGGAATGACAAATTAATGAAGTTTATATGAACTATTTAACTTATTTCACAGATACAGATTCATGTACTTGGCATCGAGTCACACTTTAAGTGTGAAGGTTAGTGGCGGTAGCTGCAACTCATTAGTGATTGAAAGTCGGACACCTTAACCATTCAGCCACCTCATAAGTAGCAACTGATAACCGATATTTCGTAATTTTGTGTAAATACCAAGTTTCGTGAGAATGTAACAATACTCACATTGTACTGCTTGCATTACGGTGGTATACATATTGAATTCGGACTACTTAAAGTTCAAAATTAAGAGGTTTTCAATGATAGTTCTTGGAAATTTACAAACTATACACATTTCACCGAGATGGTAATTTTTTGTATGTTCAGTTACAAAAACCATGTTAATTATTAGTTATTGAAAAATTCTCTATTGATTTATCAGTTTTTTACAAGTGCTCATTAATAGTGACTTCGTTTGAGTTTCTCACCGCGTTGTGGGTTAAAAGAATGAAACGTCATGACCTAAGATTGTTTTTACTTAAGAGTTATTAGTTTAATGTTTCCGAGTTAGTAGTGAGAGTTTTAACAGGAGCGAAAACCAACATTTTACTATCTCAGGTCTTACAGTACTTTAGATAGATAAAGAAAAATCAAAACAAGAGGGATAACAATTCTGAGAATTATAAATTTAAAGTTTTTCATTTTACCGCAGATCATATTCAAAACTGGATTAAATGGTCTCTTTTTAGCACATGAGTTCCTTAAAAGAGTTCCTAGGCGTTTGAACTTTTAACTTTATTATAGCTTTTACTCAGTGAATAGTAATATTACTTATCGTATTTAAGTGATCTGGTGAACAATTTGGTGGAATCTGAAGTGTTGAGTATCAGTTTCAAAGATTGGTTTGAAAACCACCACTGGAATCCAAGTTCATTAATTCAAAGGATTTTAATTCGGTTATAATTCTAAATTTGATTTGTAAATAGTGTGTAATTGTAATGCCACTTTATAAACTAGTATCTTGAATAAACCCTTAAACATGACTAACAGAAATGTTATAATAAAAACTAAAAGTCAACGTAGTTTTCAATGTCAGTTGGCTTGATTAGAAAAACGCGGTTTTAACTGAATTACATATATTACTGTTTCAATTTGCCTGTATTGTTTATGCGTGTATATAAGTAATGAACTAAATACGTTTCTGTTTAGTCGAAATAAGAAATACAATCTCATTCATAAGTTAATTAAGTTTTAGGTGGAGTTTTGTTCTTTGAGCTGGGTGGTTTCGTCAGAGAACAAAACTCCGATTAAATCATTCATCTGAGCTACAAATCTTCAACATCTCTAATTAAGTTTGAACGCTGTAGTCCAGGAAATTATCGAACTGAATATAAACTAATTTTTAAAAATGGTGTAAAAAATTCCATCCATGAATATGGACATATTTCAATTAACCGAGAGTTGAATATTAAAAATAAAATAAAGAGATTCACAAGCAGAATAGACAGAGAATAAGCTCAATATTTTAAATTTGTTAAATCATCACTATTTAAACCAATGAAATAATATGTCCTTGATATACATCATTTATTCAATTTGCATAACTCACTTGAGTTGGGTGTGACCATTTTTGTTCAAATACACGAGATTCTTTTTCAAGATAATCGCCAACTAAAATGTATCAGTAAACAAAAACAAAATAGAAAGATAGAAAACCATAATTTCAGTGGTTAATGTGATAAATTAAAACAAAATATTTAAATAAACAATATTGTTTTCATTTAGATCTTCATCAGACTTTACTCTAATATACAGTAATATTTATATGCATATATGAAATTATTAAAAAAATCAAAGCTGTTTATGAATTAATGATAACAGTGGAATAGATTACATAAATAAGTACAATAAGTAAAGAGTACAAATTGTTAGCATGATGACAGGTGTACTAGTTGTGATGAAACTAACAAAGCGCTGAATCCATGTTTCATCATGGAAAATAGGTCAATTACTTAAAAAAAATAGATACTGGAATAACATTCACAAAATCTATAAGATTACGTAATGAGGAGTGTGTGGATAATTGAATAGTGAAGCGTATATTTAGAAAAAAGGTGGGAGGGGTGATCGGCCGTTGTTGACCTCTAACCTATCATTGTCTACCTCTTTATTTTGATTGTATCTCCCTTCGACTTGATTCTTCCTCCTATATTTGTCCATGATTTTTATTATTGGCTGATTGATTGGATCAGTTTCGATGTGTTTATTGACTGTTGCTTGACCTGAGTGCCAAGCTTCTAAAGATTCCCTACTGTTTTTGGAATTCCGCCTATCCATGATCTCAACATTTTTCCGGTCGAAAGTGTTTCCATAGTTGTTCACGTGCATTGATATAAGCATGGATAGGTCATGAAGTTTGACTGCTAATTGATGTTCGTGCGGGTGAAGATGAAGAGGGCGTTCTTTTTCTCCGATGTAGTGTTGTACGGAATTGTATCAGTTTATTTTGTAGATGATGTTCGGTTTTTCTTATTTGTCACATCGTCCTTTCCCTTACATAAGATTGATTGAAGTAATCTTGCCACTATATGTGCTGCACACGTTCTAAACTGAATCAACAATACCATTGTAATTTCTGACATGTATTTTACACACAGTAAAATGATGCATTTGTCGGTTTCTATAATCGAATTTTGCTTTTGTTGATGAGTGGCATTGATATCGCTTGATGAACCTGCGTCAATAGCCACTCTTTTTAAAGGTAGACACTAGATGGTTTTATTCGTATATGTTCCCGCCCTCCTGAATGTAGTTTGTACGCAGTTGATTTTGTGAATTCTGGGGTTGTTGCTACTATATATGATTATCTGATCAGAGTGGGTTGGCTGCCAATATACTTGAGTTTCCGGCTTTTTTCGTAGGAGTTCTAGTGATTAATATATCCAATGATGATAATTTGTTGTTCGAATGTTTTACCGAGGTGAATTTTATGTCATCAATGACATTGTTGATCAGATTGTAGGTGTTTTAATTTATTTTAATACATTAGTTTGTGGAAAAATTATTTTCCATGATCGCCATTTTTATTCATTGGATCTAAATGAAAAAGGATATCCACTTTGAAATGTTCACTAAAATTGATAAATCATACAAAAAAAAGTTTAACCATTGGTTAAACAACCTCGAAAGTTTTTACACATTCTTATAATTTTAACTAAGACACTGTAAAGTTTACATTAAAAACAACTACTGAAAATCAAGTTCTTTTGACCTAAATTCAGCACACCCGTTGGCAATATATGTTCACAGAAGTGCCTGAAACTAGACCAAGGAAAAAAGACTTTGACGCTAGCTTATTACTAATCAAACATTGATATTATCACAAACTATTTCTTATTGAATAATGAGATCAAGACCTCCAGCTTTAAAGCATCCGACATAAATTCACTGTTGGTATTTGAAAAGAAATTAAATTCTGTGGTTTATTGTGATCTAACCGATTGTTTTCTTTCTTTTTTTTCTCTTTAGTATGCAGTAATTTATGGTCATAAATTTTGTAAAATTATCTCAGTATTACTTTCAATTTCTAGTTGATATATACAAGTTAAATGTTATTTTTATTTTTTCAGAGAATGAACAACTGTTCAATGACCTTAGAAATTCAGTTGTTAAAATTACCATGGAGATTCGAACTGTTCCAATGTGAGGCCTAATTTTTATTTTAAATCTGTCAGTTTTTTTTACTATAATGTGCATTAATATTTTTCTAAATTAAAAATTTTTGGAAATATGATCGTCATTTATCTTGTTATTTATGTTACTTATTGAATGGTTTATCTTCAATTTCATCTAAAGTATATCGTCTTATATATTATACTATTCTTTAGGTCATATTAGTTAAGGTGAATAATGGTGACCAGATTCGATTTGTTTTCATTCCTCAGTTTTTTTTTTGCTTAACATAAATGATAGAATTTTCCAGAACTCTGAATTATAATATCTGAATTGATATTTTAAACAATCAATGTGTTATCAGCAAAATTCAAAAATCAAATCAAAACCATTTTCATTGAATAGTCATTTAATCGTTTAAAATATAGTGAAAATATTTTGTATTATAGTTTCAAATAAACAATATTTCTGTCAATCAATCTAAATAAAAATATTATTTGCCTTTTTTTTAATTAATAAATAATAAACAAAATGTAAACTAGATTAGTGTATTTGTTTTTTTTTTTAAAAAAAACCCGAAAATAAACAAAAATAACCTTTGATAATGATTAAAACAAAATGTTTGCACAATAATTTGAAAATGTACTTTGAATAAGTTTAGTATTGATACGTTGAATGATTTCATATAGATTTAGTTGTTTAGTTGTTTCTGTTAATTTCTATTTAGTAGATCATGAAAGATAATGTTTATGATATGTTATAATAAGAAATTTCACTTAAAAAAAACTAATGAAATTTGTTCAGAAAGTTTATATTTAACTAACCTTTTAAACTGATAGTATGTTTTGATTCACCTGTTTAGTTTACTCTTACACTAATCAGTAATTTATATTGAGTTAGACGATCATCAGGCTTTCGGTAATATATGATCATTTGTAAAATCATCTTATAGTGTCTCAAGATAAATGAATATATATGTTTAATCAGATCTGTCGTAAGATAGTAAATCACTGAAGACAATAGTGGATAAGTCGCTTAATTTCGTGAATTGGTTGATTTATTTATTTAAACATATAAACATTGGTACAAGAAGGCACCAAATACATATGCTCCACATAAATCATTCGATTTGTGTGAGGACTGGGATACTGCACAGCTGCCCAAAACGAAACCGGTGGTTCTCTTAAGAGGCCACACACGGATCATTCGACCTAAAGGTTTGATCCACAAGGCAGTGGAGCAAGGTCAAAAGATGCAGTCTCATGGTAGACGGTGAACAACGATTGGTTCATACGCCATTTCTTTCCTTAGGATACATGAGTCCATCTGCACCACTGGTTTTGAATCAGAGTTTTCCAACTCTGCTAATTAAATTTTCCATGTTCACCGACCTGGTTAAAGTTCCGGCATTCGCTTTTCATCCTTTGAATTTCGTAAACAACAAAAATGCGGTTTGAAGGCAGTGAGTAGAGCTTCTCCGGCAGTGGTTGTATACATGTGTCTATGTGAGTGCATTTCGAGAGGGAAAGCTGATTCTCCCCACTCTCGACTGTTCCAGGGCATTTGTGGGCATTGGTTAAAATTAGACATTAGCACCCTTGGATTCCGGCCATCTCAGTGGTCTAGAGCTTAAGCGCTCGCGTGCGAGACTGGTAGGTCCTGTGTTTGAAACTCACGAGGCACGATCGTGGATGCGCACTGCTAGGGAGTCCTACAATAGAACGAAAAGGCCGTCCAGCACTTCCATGTTTTCCATAGTAATCTAGATTCAATTGACTCATGATCTCAATCATTGAAATTACTATAGTATCCACAAAAACCCCTTCGATTATTTATGTGACATTCCTTGAAAAACTTTACTTACTGTTCTACCATTTGAAGTTAGTGATTAGTGAAGATCATTGAATTAAACGAAAAATTACTAATGTTCAGTAGTTTTATAAATCATCACCTACATAGTTTTCAGATTTAACTCACACATGTATACATTCAATAAATCAAAGGATTATTTATTGCACAATGGTTGACATTTGAATTCAGTTCCTATTCATGTCACAGGTTGTTATAATTGAGAGGAAGAATAACAGTCATAGTAAACCTATAAGTAATTCTCGATTGAAAAAAGAAATTTTAATCTTCTCAATCAATGATCTTAACTCATGAAAGAACTTTGTAAAGTCGATAGACCCTTGTAACTTAATAGATCTATGTGTTTTTCTTTTTCTTATTCATAATCTATCAATGTTCATTTACAAGGGTTGAAGTAAATTCTATTAGAAAGAGATTATATGCTGTATAGAATGGAACAGAAGTTCGTTTTCTGGAATTTTGAAATACCTACTAGATTTCTGTAGTTTTGAAAATATTACTAATTTACTTCAACTAAAATATGATATTCAGTTTGACCAAAATGTTACAGTTTGGAGGTTAAAACAGGAAAAAAGTCCTCTTGGTATTTGAACTAACTTGGAACAAATTTTAGAACCTTCTAGTTAGTGGAATTCAATACCTGGCTGTTTTTAAAATTTAGTGGTACATATATGCTTTGTTCACTTGACTGGTTTGTCAGGATTAGTCCATTTAAAGAGGTTTCTTATAGACTGACATCAATAAGAGAGCCGATGAGGTCCATAGAGTCCTGTCAGTCAGCTGCAACGTAAGATCAGGTACATATGTGCATCAGTCCAAGTCGCCATACCACATTAACACAACAAGATCAACACCGGATTCATAGAAGTAGTTAATTCAATGGTGGTAATATATAAAAGAAAGATTACATATAAGGACATAGTACAAGAAGAAAGAGTTAATTCGTAGAAAGAAAGATATGAAGCGATGTTAATCTCATAGTTTGAAAGAAGACAGAGAGTGTATACACCTACGCCATTGTGATTGATTCTGAGCCATGTCACATAGAGTCTCCAACCATTGGTTACGATAGTGACGAAGACCCCAACCACGTAGTCTGCATCTACCAACATGGTTCAGACTAGAAGTTA